ATACAGGTGCTGCCAACATAACACCTGTAAAAACCCTGTTAATCATTCTCTGTACTAAGGGAATTATCCATATTGTAAGGACAATACTATATGTATAGAAAGTTTTCACATATTTTTTTGACAAATAACACATGACAGTTTCATTGGAAAATGAGAAAAAAGAAAAAAAAAGGACTATATAGGTGCCGTCAACACATCACCTATAAAAATTCTGTCAACCATTCCCAGTACTCAGAGAATTATCCAGGTTGCAAGGACTATGCTAAAAGTATAGAAGTTTTCACAATTTTTTTAAAATAAAATATGGCACAGCTCCATTGGAAGATGGAAAAAAAAAAAAAAAAAAAAGGACCATACAGGTGTTATCGACATATCAATTGTAAAATCCCTGCCAACCATTCCCTGTACTTAAGCTTGGGCAAAAAAATTAAAAAATCAATCAAACCAATCAAACAAAACCATTGGTTCGGGTCGGTTTGATACATATAATTAGTTTGATTTGATTTTCTTTTAAACAAAGCCAATGTGAATCGGTTCGGTTATGGTTTGAAGTTTCAAATCGTTGGTTAATCGAATCAACCCAATCCAACTACATGTTTGCCTTTTTTCTTTTTTCTTTTTTTTTTTTTTAAATTTAAAAAAGTAAAAATCAAAAGATAAGCCATAATCTCATAACTATATCTAGATTCCCTCCAATTTATGATATTGTCGATAAATAATAACAGTGAAAATTTTCTTTTACAAGCTCATTATAATGTACTTAGTATTTTTTCCTACTTAAGTAATCATATTACATAATACATAAAAAAGAAACAAAATTTTTAATTTTTTCGTCGATCTGTCTCTATTAATCAGAATTTATTTTTAGTCAAAAGTTCTTGTAATATTAAATTATTTAGTTATTTTAGTTCTTATAATTTAAGTGGGCCAAAACTCGGACAATTTTTTTAAAAAAATTCAATTTGGACTAAAAGTCCAAATTGATTAATCGAATCAAACCAAACCAAATCGATTTGGTTCAGTTTAAGAGATAAAATGAGTTGATTTGGATTGAAATTCATCCAAACTGTTTAATTTGGTTTTGATCTCGTGTTGGAGTTGAAATCGACCCAAATCTAACTACACCCAAACATAGGGAGTTTTCCATATTGCAAAGACAATACTATAAATACAGAAAGTTTTCACAGATTTTTTTGACTTATAACACATGGCATAGTTTCATTGGAAGATGGGGGGAAAAAATGAAAAAGGAGACCATACATGTGCTTCCAACACAATGTAAAAACCTTGTCAACCGTTCCACGTACTGAGGGAATTATCCATATTGCAAGGACTATGCTATAATTGGTGATGATAGGTGTACAGATTAAGGGTTTACAGAACTCTTACCAACACCTCACATCGGGGTGGGGGGAGGAGGGTGGGTTAATTTTTTTAACATTATTTATTCGTGTGGGATTCATACCTTTATGAGAGGTTGTACACATTCTGTCAAAAAAAGTTTTGTACACCAATCTTAATTGATGCTATAAGTATCTAAAGTTTTCATAGATTTTAACCAAATATTTTCCTAAAAATCATTATTCAGAACATTATTTTTTTCGAAATAATGGCCACCAAACAGGAGTTTTGAGTTTTCTTTGAGTATTGGGTATTGAAATCTATACGAACTCTAAATGCTAGCACTTTTGAAAATTTTCATATAATTAGGATGGGCAAATTACTCGCCTAACTCACCTAAATTGTCAAACTGACCCAAGAGTCGGGTCGATTTGGAGGGATGTTGGCTCTGTTTGAGGGATTTGTTTTACAAAAAAAATTAATTTTCGAAGAAAAATCACCTTAAACTCGACAAACCAAACCGACTCAGCCTAACCCTGAATTTTGAATAATGGTATGTAGGACCAGTAGGGGTGGGCATGAGTCAAGTTTGGACCCAACCCGACAAGCAAACTGACAGTTTAGGATGGAAGAAATCTTAACCCGAAACTGAACCAACAAGAAAAATAACCCAATCCAAACCAATTCAAGTTAGTTTGTTGTGGGTTCAAGGATATTTTTTCCTTGAAATTCATTTTTTTTTTTCTAAATTCGACTCCTCAAACCCAGGTTTATGGGTTGGTCCAACCGTCCAGGCAAACCGACCTAACCAACATCCCTCCAACCAATGCAAGTCGGTTTAATTTGACTGTTTGGTCGATTAAGCAGATAATTTATCCATACCTAAGCATCATAGGCGCTTATCACGAGTCTAAGTAGTAGTGATCCTATGAAATTGAAAAAATGCAATTAATTATATGTGTGGTTAAAAAATAAGGAAAAATTTTGGATTTACGTGTATTATTATTTTATTGAAAAATGTGTGATTGAAAAGAAGAAAGAGAAAAATATATTAAAAAAAAAATGAGAATCAAATAAGATCTATGGTAGGATACAGGGCTTATTATCGCTAAGCATCGGTAGTGCTAACATTGCTCGGGAATTTTAGGCTCTTATGCAGATGCAGTCGGTGGTTCGAAAGAAATGATGCATAGGTTAATAGAAATTAATTTCACTAATGAGAAAGGCAGAAAAGTAGGTGAAGTATCATATAAATAATAGAGTGTGACAATAAATTCTGATAGTAAATGAGGCACCAGCAATTCTATTATGCACGCCCTTTGGATTCTGGACTTTTCATCCCCCGCAAAATCTCAAAAAATTTATCTTCTTATTGTTTGTCAGAGAGACAGCTAGCAGTAGTTACACAGTAGAGCCAAGCTGTTCTACATTTGGTGGATTGGTACATAGAAACATTAAAGTTATCTGAACCCATTTTCATTTTCTTGAGTTGTCCATTCAATTCACATAAGGGGAATCAGCGGACACGCTGAATGTCTTTAATACGCAGTATTAAATAAGATTGAACAATATAATAGCGTTATGAGCTTGCAAAACCAAACGTCAAGACGAATTAGGTTTTTAGTGATGGATAAATAACGATGTAGACTTCAAAAATCATTGAATTATGATTTATTGATAATGAGTCTTTATTTATTTATTTTTTATTTTTTTTATCATTAGTGCACGTTTGGAAACAAAAATTCACCAAAAACTTATCTAAGTTCTTCCTTTTCAAGACTGAAAATCGAGGACATGGTTGATACATAGTACATGAATAGGTTGTATAAATTTCTAATCTCTTATCTTAATATTGTCACTAATTTTTAGACTACCTTATCAAACATTCGAAACGACTAGTTGTGAATATGTATGACATATACAAGGCAATCAGGCACGCCTACACATCAAATACAAGAAGTTAGATATGCATTTAGTATGAAGCAATGCTAAGAGAGCGAGGAAAAAAAATGAAAGAAAAACCTACTTTGTTCTTCGGAAAAAACTCGGTTTGGGTCAAAAGTGGGTCACTTTTCCTTCTAACATAGTGGTATGTTGAACCACAACTTCCAAAGTTCAGCACAAAAATTACAGTCGATAGAGTCCTTGTCTATCGTTGAGAAGACGTGTGTGGAATCGTAGAAAATAGATTTACATAACCAGAGATGACAGATGACTTATTCATTCTCAGGATTGGAGAAGAATCAAAAGGATAAAAGACGTTAATCTATATTTATCAAGCAATAAATGAGGAGAATTTTAGACTATTTTCAACATAGCATGAGATATAACATATGTTGAAATCTTGTTTCAAAATTGAATTTGGATGAAAAAATCGAAAAAAAGGGAAAAAATATAGGCTAAAAATTGGCCTAGTGACTTGTGCGGCTGCATCTAACCATGCAAATATATTATTATTATTATTGTCCCTCGGGGGCATAGTATAATAGTGTAAAGGACATGAGTGAGGTTATCTTACGCCTCGCTAGCAGTCGCAATGTAGGGGTTTGAATCATGAGATGTGGAATTAAACTCTTTGTAGGTGCAGTGTACAGACAACTCTTGTTCCTTGGCCTGTTGGGGCACATCCCGTGATTACCTTCTTCACAAAGCTTTAAAGATGGGGCATTGGGGACCCTCAAGATTGGGGTTCAACCTTTATATTATTATTATTATTATTATTTTTTTTTTTTTTCCAGCTGCATAGTTGAGATTTCTACCCATTGGCAGATTTTTCAATTTCAAAAGTGGTGTCCTTTGATTGATTTCTTGCATCTTTTCACGTAAAGGTGGTACAAATTCGTATAGGGATGATTGGAGATCATAAATACATCATAATATTCTTCCCTAAATACATAAAAATAAAATAATCATTCCCTTATCATCCAAGTTATTGAGAAAATTCATTATTCTCTCTACATATTCATTTCTTGATTTTCAATTTGTTCAATTTGAAGATATTCCTTTTGCTTTGATGTCCTTCATCTTAAGCTTGTTTAATCCTTCAACTATATGCCGAAAATCCTTAAAGCAATTAGAAAATGAGGCAAATATCGTTTTAGGACAACTTTTATACGCGTTCAAGTCTTCTTCAATATCAAATTATTCTTTAATCGTTTTTCATCTTCTTCTTCGTTTCTTTCTAAATTTTCCAACAACACAACACTGATGCACAAATGAACACAAATTGTGGAACTTTGGAACAAACTACAAAAAGCAGTTCTGATGCACCATTTCAAGTAAGTTCTGCATTGTTTTCAACTGTATCATGAATGAAAAAAATATTGCAAAATGTAGTCAATTAACGGCCACATGCAAAAGAATAATAGATACTTGCCTAGGAAAAATTGTTTTTTTTTCTTATACATAATGACATTTGTCAGAGTGGTATATCTTTTACACATTGCCGGGGATCTGGAAGAAGCCTGTGATCGATTGCCCTCAAACCTTTTCCAGTCCATCGGTTCACAAGGGCCAGTTCAAGAAACCTCACCTGCAAAGATTTTGCTTTCTCATATCAGCACGGATTCTGTAAAATGGAGAACTTAAAGCTCTACTTCAATGCCTTGATTCTCCACATGCACAAGAAAATGCAATAGTTCCCAGGATAAACAGAATTTCAATCTGTTTCTACAACAAAATTCTGACATACATATTCATAGTTGATTGGAAGTTGGCTGCTTGAATCATTTTCTATCACTTCATTCAATCCATCAAAAATCCCCTAAATCAAATTCTACGTAACCACATAAACCATGCTGACCTGTTGGTCTCAAATTCTTTTAACTTGTTCTATTAGGATCTAGGACACAATCTGTCTCGGCACTTGTGAATAAAAGTTTCATTAGGCCTATGTAAGACATGCTCCAAGCCTCCAACTACCTAAGTCAGCGTCCCTAATTTTATCTTCAATCTGTTTCTCATTATAACTATATTTAAGGTCCAATAATATCTATAGAGCATAAGATCAGGAAATAATAATTAATAACAACTGTTTGCAGATGACTTTTTTATTTAGTTTAATTAATCTTTCCTAGAACCTTACAGTTATTTTATTAATTTTTAGCTAGGCAACTATCCTTCTTAGATCTTCCATTTCAATTTTGTTGCAACTAGTGTCTCCCATCCATTTCTTTCATTTATACATATTGGGATACATGATAATTCTAGCAGCATATATAAACGTAATCTTTTCAAGAAGTTATAGTATGCTTGGAAGAATCAGACCTATAAACAACACATTTAGCAATCGGAAAACTAGAAACAATTATCACAAGATCCTCAATGAGATTACGCAAGTCTCTTTTTCTGGTCGACCGTTAAGTAAGCAAGACACCACTTCAGAATCTTTCAAAGCCGACTAGGATAATTCTACGATTCAGAATTACTGGTAATAGACCTATAAAATTTGGTAAGGTGGAGCAATGAGGGGATATAACAAAAGCTCAAGCAACATACAGAAGCCCAAACTCTAGTCCAAGCTTATGTATGGCCCTGGACACTCGAACAACTTCAATTTTCACACAACATATAAATATTGAGGTTCCAAGACTGTAGTTATGCAACGAAAAATGAGTTCCTCATTACTTTGCAATCATCTTGAGATAGGCGACTAAATGATTTTGTAACAAGAAGACATCAACATAAAGTCTCAGCAATCTTCAACTCACAGTTAACATTTCTTTTTATGTTTAATGTTACTCTACTAAAGGAAGAAGAGGTTTGCTTAGACAGTACTGACAGAAAAAAGTTCAGAAAAACCAACCTGCTGTACGATTAAAGGCTCCCCCTCAAGACAAAGTGGTTCAGTCAATATCGTGAAAAAACCATTTCTGTTTCCATAAACAATATCCGTGAAGGGCCGATCACCCACCTACCATTTACATTACCAGTTTATTGTGCAATGAAATTATTAAACAAAAACAGGAAAAAAGGAAAAGGAACAAGAGCATATGATTAATCTTCTATATGGAATTCATTACCATGATCAGTCTAGAAGACTCAGAACCAAAGTGCTTTTCAATTTCTTCGGCAGTTCCAGCTGGCTTCTTATTCCCTGGATTAGATAAATAATCGAAGCAAACACACACAACATTAATTACTACTTTTCCAATGTCCAAATATAGGCACTGCCCCGTCATCTTGATCGATATCAAATGCTACCCATGATACATGAAATTCGAGGAATAATATAGTTAAATGACAGCTTTTTAGCTGATGAAATGAACTTACTATGCCTAATCACCTTTATCCCGATTGCATCCTCAAGAGCTTTAGCTTTCGTACCATCCGGGTCATACTCGTATAGTCCTAAAAATTTACAATATGATGGAAAACCAGCAGAAAATTGATCAAACAAAACTAACAACCCTTCAAAACAATGAAATTAGCCAAAAAAATATAAATAGGTTTGATCAAAATTACCGGCAGAGTTACTGAACACTGCAATATCATTACCAAACATCGATTTACATTGCTCTATGGATGATCCAAGGGGCTCCCACAAGCTCAAAGAGTAAGGAAGAGTAACAGTATTATCCTTATCAAAGACCACGCCTTTAAATCCTCTTTTCTTCAATTCACTCCAATCAATGTACCGTATATCAGGAACAGAAACATGTGGGATTGCCAAGTGCTTGTCTTTTGACAAAATTCCCACAGAAGAAGCAAGGCCTTCCAAATTAATTCTTTGCCCTAAGAAAGCTTTGAAATCTGTCCACCACATGTTTGATGAAATGTCCAAAAAATTATCTACCTCACTTTCTGGTTCCCTTTCACTCTCTCTGAATTTGGTTTTTGGGTTTTCAATGGAAGAGCAAAAACCTTGGCAAGATTTGGGGTTATCTTCATCTGGGTCTTTTCTTGGATAAGGATTCTGATTCTTTTCTTGATCTTCACTGCAACTGTTTGTTGCAGTAAAAGTGAAGAAACTATTGTTTATGCGGAGTTTTTTTGAAGGTTTTACAGAGAGATTCTTCTGGTTTTGGAGGTGGAGATTTGGGGAGAATAAATGTTTAGGGACAGGATAGTAGTAGCAAGTATGCCACGGAGCAATTGAAGTGGACTGCATAATCGGTTGGCACATAGATTTTTCTAGTATTTTTTTATTTTTTGGTAAAATTAATGAAACAGAGAAGATGGGGCTGGGTTTTCAAGAGAGGCCATTTTCTTGTATTTTCTTCTTGATGCTAATAATGTCAATTGTTGTGTTATTGTTTTATATGGATTTAGATCCTACGGCCTATGCCCAGCCCAATAAGAAAATGTAAATCCCAAATAAAGCCTAATAAAGTTCATTAGCCATTTGGCAGATTTCACAAACAGAGCAAAACTAGGGGAGTCCGTTGATAAATATTAATCCATATGATATCTATCATTTTTTGGGCGATTTTAATCTTCCTACAATTCAAATATTTCAATAATACCTTATTTTTCATTTTTCGATATGTAATAAATACGACATAATTATTGTCATTTATAAAATTTGTGTTATTAATTCTCAATTAATTAACATTCACATTAACCTAGATTTCATTTGATAAATCTTGAATTACATGAATCTAGGTTATTATAGATGAGTTTATTCATATTCATATATCTAAAAATTTTAATATTTGTTTAAATTTATGTACTAACAATTAATTTTTATTTATCAAATATAATATAAAAAGATTGCTCATTTATACTATTTTATCATTACAAAAAATTTGAATCATGAAAATTGAATTTTGAGGGCACAATTTTCTTCTCTTAAATTTTTATGTTAAATTTTATTTTCTTTCATTCGTCCAAGACTCATTCTAACAAATTGGTACCAAATATTACATCTAAATCGCTTATAAAATATTTTAGAATAATGTGTAATGCACGTTTAACTTTGACTAATTTTGTTAAATATTGCAAAGTTAAAACATAGATCCGGATTAAAAGGAAATAGGACGAAAATTTTGGAATTCCTACATTTAGTAAGTTACTACGCTCCATGTCAACTGTGTTACTGTGTACCTAACTCTCTGATAATCAGAATTATTAAATATTAGTTGAGTTGTCAGTTATAAGATGTGATATAGCCCCTTTTTTATTTGACTAAAAATCAGCTTTTTAAATAGATTTTGATAATATTTAGTACCCATTTGAGTTTCATTATAATTAGTTTTTGAAGGAAAAAAAAAAAAGGTATTTTGCAATAGTGATTTTTAAAGAATATGTGGTTAAAAGGGGAGAAAAACTTTAAATTTACGTGTAATAATAATTTATTAGAATATGTGTGGTTGTCAAAAAGAAAATGAAAAATGCATTTTAAAATTAATTGAGTCTAAACACGGGTTTAGTGAAATATATAATTGGAAAGTTGAATTTATTTATTTATTTTTTTTACAAACCCCAATCACAAACCAGTTTTTAGTTACCAATCCATGGTTGTTTGCTAAGACAAGATATTAGGAGTAACCCTATATGCAGGGCCAGTCCTATAATTGTCGGGGGCCCAAGGCGAATTCCACAAATTAGGCCTCGGCGAAATCTACGTAAATGCAAAATTTAACACTGTATTATGTGACATATTGCTAACTTAAAACTAACATTTAAACAACAACCAAATATATTATAGAAATGATTTATATTATAAAATAACAATACCAAAGATTTAATTATAGAGTGAAAGAACTTGTGCCAAGTGTGGAAGTGCAGATCATGAAATCGACACAATTGATTAAAAACTTATTATCAACTAAAATTAAACAAAAATATACATATATATTAAAATACGACTTTTTGTCCCTTTTAAAGCAGATCTAGAATGAAAGAATTTAAAATGTAGTAATATCTTCGCAAAGTTTTTGTACAAAAATAAGACAACGACATAGATTCAACAAATACAATCACATAAATATCTATCTTCACAAAATTTTTGTACAAAAATAAGACAACAACATAAATATTTATAGACACCCATTTATAAAATTCATCAAATCCCACACCATTTCCAAGAAAAAACTCCAAATTTAACCATTTTAGATCTTGTCTTCAATAAATTTACATCAAATCATTTGAGCTTTTTGGCCTTGTTTTGAAGAAAGAAAAATTGGGTTGGGTGGGGGGGGGGCCTAAAATGAGGCCCCATATGGTATTGGGCCTGAGGCGAGGGCCTCATTTGCCTCGCCTCAAGACCGGCTATGGCTATATGTAGTTAGCGATTGTAGTAGTCATTTTTATGTAGTAGTTTATTGTTTGATGCATTGATTGATAGCAATAGTCATTTTTATGTGACAGCTTGTTATTCGAGGCAACACAACTAAATGAAATTAATGCCTCAAACAAGAAGTTACCAGATAAGATGATTACTGCGATCATTGACTATAAATAGCAATATTCAGACATTAGTGACTAATAATTGGTCTTTACATCATCATTCTTGCCAAGCCTTTCGTTACCAGTCACTATTTGGTCACTAAAACCCTTATAACAAGCGCGCGCGCACAAAAAAAAAAAAAAAGGCGAAGTTTCTTCCTGCTGAGGTTTTCAATGACAACATATTGCTTGGTTGATGAAATCGGCCATCAACAACTAATTTTTGGTCGCTAAAAGAATAAAAATTAGGATCTCTTGATCAATCAAAAATATTACGAACTGTTATTTGGTCAATGAAAGTGTCTTATAACAACCTACATTTTTTTGTAGCATACCCAACTTCATCATTTTTTCTTTATTTACATACACAGACAACTATATTTTTATTCCTACTGTACTCTCGTAATTACGTACAGACACATATCTTACATATATATAATTATTCTTATATTTTATATATTGTTATTGGGTTAATTTCACAAACGGTCACTGAAATTTAAAACTTTCAATAACGGTCACTTAAGTATTGGGACGCTTTCAAAAACGGTCACTGAAGTTTAAAAAGTTTCTGAAACGGTCAATGAAGTTGAAAAACACTTTTTAAAATTTTTTTGTTACATTTGCGGCAATTTTTCAGCTACTTCCAACCATCGATATCATCGGATTTGATACCGTTGGAAAGCCCACAACGTCCTCTTCAATTACCACTCAAAATCTCTCCGTAACACCAAGGAATTTGATAGAAAAATCACCGCAAAATTCGCCCCAAAAAATCTAAAAATCTGCCTTGGGCGACTTTTACGGCAATTTTCCAACGACTTTCGACCACCAAGATTGCCGAATTTTGTTACCGTTAGAAAGCCCACAATATTCTCTTCAATTACCATTCAAAATCTCTCCCAAACTCCAAAGGATTCGGCCGGAATAAACCCGCAAAGTCGGCGTCCCAAAAAGGCGAAAATCTGGGATGCCAACTTTGTGAGTTTATTCCGATCGAATCCTTTGGAGTTTTGAGGAGATTTTGGGTGCTAATTAAAGAGGACATTGTGGGTTTTCCAATATATCAAAATCAGACTATTTTGGTGGTCGGAAGTTGTCAAAAAATCGCCACAAAAGTCTACCAAAAATCTAAAAATTTGGGCAGATTTTTGCCTTTTCGGGTAGCCAATTTTGTGGGTTTATTCCAACCGAATCCTTTGAAATTTTGGGGAGATTTTTTGTTGTAATTGAAGAGGACATTGTAGGCTTTCCAACGGTATCAAAATCCGATGGTATCGATGGTCGGAAGTGGTCTAAAAATTACCGTAAAAATAACTCAAAAATTTTTAAACTTTAGTGACCATTTTTGAAAACATCCCAATACTTAATTGATCGTTACTTTAGTGACCGTTTTGCAATTTTTCTGTAAGTTCAGTGACCGTTTGTGAAATTAACCCCATTGCTATTAGATCATCACCAATGCTAACCTAGCTCCTTTTAAAAATTTCTTCTCAAATTAAATAATATAGATTTGACCTAATGTAGAGAATCTTCTTAAACTTAAATATTTATTCACTTTTCAAAATTTTAATATCTTTTGTAGTTGCAATGTGTCCATCAGTCCATACAATTCGTTGTGTCGAGTAAATATCTATTTACATCGAGATATGTAATATTAAATCGTGAGAATTGGAAATTAGGTTCAGTTTATATATATATATATATATATATATAAGCTTTATGAAATTTGCAAAGGGGATATAAGCAAATAAAATAAAGATAAAAAGACGTGACAAAACCACCAAAGCAACTGGTGTAAGGTTCGATCGTGCCTAGAACACAATGACAAATTTTATGTTCTGGAAATGATTGGAATCCACCAACGAAATCAAGTTTGACCGCTTCATATCTAACGACCACAGGAGGAAAAAATAAAATAAAAATTAAACCGGCAACATTAAGATTAGTCATTCTAGACTTTATTTTTTATATTTTATTTTATTTATTTATTGGATTAGACAAAATTAAAGAATTTGTACATCATTTTTCAATCTACCGTCGTATAACTTTTGATTTCTGCATTATTTCCTTTTAAAGATGCACCATTTTTGTGCTTATGCTTAAAACTTTCCGAGGTGTTTCGATTCCAATTCGATATTTATAATGTAGGACAATATTAAGTAGTATAATAAATTATATTAATTTGACTTCTTTTTAGTGTTAAAAATTGTAAGTTTTGTTTGCATATCTTGGATTAATGACGTGGTATAGAAAGAATAAGATTGTATGGAAAAGGAAGCAGTGTCAAAAGAAATAATTTTTCGGGGTATTTGTTTTCGAAAAAAAGTAAAAAATGCGTTTTTCGGTTCTCTGGATAATTTTGTTATATTTAGTAAATTTGATTTTTTATTTCGTTTATTGTGGATTAATTCTGAACATTAATAATTTTAATTTTCGTCATTTCCTAGAGTTTAGTTGTTATTCAAAATTTGATTATTTCTTTAAATATCAATTGAATTTGATTTTATTTAATAAATTTTTTGAGAAGTTTCTTTCATTATTCTTTTTTTTTTTTTGACATCCATGAACGAATTAACAAGTTTGAATTTTCATGAAATATTGTTTCCTATAAGCTTTCGCCACGTCAATTAATGTACATTCGTCCGAAGAAAACAGAAAAATAATAGTCAAAAATTAATTTAAACCGAATAATTAAAAACATTTTCAAATTAAAATCAAGAACGCGTTAAAGAGGATATGTCAACCTCTGATGTCTTAACTATTCGCTACCACCAAATGTGCATCCATCAAACTTAGCTGTATACAGTTATTTATAATCTCCCTTCCTCGGAAACTCCTTTGTTACATGTCAACTATGTCTAGCTTTATGTTACCTATATAAAGCCTTGATCACAAAATATCAAACAAACAATTCCTTCTGTCTCAAGATTTCCTTCTTTCTCTATAAACCCTAAAAATGTCGTTCTCGAATTGTGCTAGGGCTCTTAGGCTCTCAATATTCATGACTTTTTTGTTAGCCGCCATGGCCGGTAACTTCTTCCAAGATGTCGATATCAATTTTGGTGGTCCACGCGCTCAAATACTCGATGGTGGCCAAGTTCTCACATTGTCCCTTGATAATAGTTCGGGCTCGGGATTTCAGTCCAAAAATGAGTGTCTATATGGAAGATTTGACGTGAAGCTCAAGCTTATACCTAATAATTCAGCTGGCACTGTCACCACATTTTACGTAAGTCTGATAATTACTTTTTGTTTATAAGCATACATAAATATAAGATAGTTCAACGTGGTATTAGTGTATTAGAGCATATGTCGAAACAGTATGTTTGTTCTAACAACTAAAACCTTTTAAACAATTTTCAACAAATTTAAATCAATGAAATTATCAATTTAATTTGACTTAATTTGTTCAAACCAGATGGTCATATAATTTAGCAGCTAAATATTTATTTCATTAATTTGCAGTTATCATCTCCAGCTGGTCCTGCCCATGATGAGATAGATTTCGAGTTCTTGGGAAATGCTTCTGGTCAGCCCTATACAGTCCACACTAATATTTATGCCCAAGGGAAAGGTGATAGGGAACAACAATTTCGCCTTTGGTTCGACCCAACATCAGCCTATCATACCTACACCATTCTCTGGAACCCACTGCGAATAATGTAAGCCGTTCTTTTTTCTTAAAATTTTCTCGATCATAAAAATGTCGTAAACTTTTTCCCTCGACCGTACAAATGTATTTTTGGTCTATTAGGCATTCTGAACGTATAATAATCACATAATAATCCTAGATTTATAAGGGATTATTTAACAAGGCGTTTTCTATAAGACTACAAACTTAGATGCTTGAGGCTTAGCCCTGTTTAGTTTAGATACAAATCAAAATTTTAGTAGATTTTGATAAAAGTTGATAAAATATGTGATCGAACTTAAAGTTGTAGATGAGTAGATCCGATGAAATGTGTAATTAAAATTAAATGCTAATTTTGAATTGGATTTTAATCAAAGTTGTTAGTGTTTGGTGAGACCAAACAGTGGCTTACTATGAAAAACTGTTGCTACAAGTGGATTTAAATTTTATATTGAGGGTGAACCACATTGAACATGTGTGCTAGCTTATATAATCCGTGACAATTTTATTTGATTTTTCAGTTTCTTGGTGGACAACATCCCTATTAGGGTTTTTAACAACTACGAGGCAAATGGAGTTCCATTCTTAAAGAATCAAGCCATGAGAGTATATGCAAGTTTATGGAATGCCGACGACTGGGCAACCCAAGGCGGACGAGTGAAGACAGACTGGACAGAGGCGCCATTCACTGCCTCTTACAGGAACTACAATGCCAACGGCTGTGTTGTCAGCGCATCGGGAAATTCTTGCAACGGAGTTTTGAACAATCAGCCATGGCAAACTCAGGGACTCGATGCCAATGGCAGAAACAGGATTCGTTGGGTCCAAGAGAGTTACATGATCTACAATTACTGTGCTGATGGAAAAAGGTTTCCTCAGGGACGTCCCAAGGAATGCAGACTTCCCAGGTTCTAGGAACATGAAATATTGGACCTTGTCTCATGGATATTTGATCATTTTCCAAGTTAATTTCTTCATTCTTTAATTGCACAAACTAAATATTTGAGTCTTGGGAATAATTTATACTTGTTTTTCTGAAGAAAAAGAAACATTGTGCTGCAGAAATTGTTTCTTTTTTGAATTTTATGTATGGAAGGATTTTACCTCTTAATTGGGTGGTGATGGAGTAAGACTTGTTTGTTATGATTTCTATTTGCAGAAGGAACAGAAAGGATACTCGTTTCTAATAATTTTCAATATTCCAGCATTTCACTCTCATGTGGCCTAATTTATTACATTGATAGTGCGAACGCGCTATCTATTTATTGTATTTATTGAACTTTTGTTTGTGGAAAGTTAGGCTTATGTCTCACGTCTCGCTTGTCAATAAGACCCTGAGGAACAAATTTCCATCAGTTGAATAATCAACAAATGGAGGATTGGTTGTTTGCTAATTTCATAAGTATGAATAATTAAGTGGAAGCTATAAATTGTACTTCTAGGCATAGTTTTCATGATTTTAAAGTGGCTCCCGAAAAATTCTTTACACGAATAAAAAAAAAAGAAAAAAGAAAAAAGAAAAAGAAAAGGGGTCAAGACTCTCTTACTGAAGGAAGTTTTCGCAACTCGCGGGGTTAGCGAAGCAACGAAGATTGTCCAAAACAAGGGTTTTCCATGTCTTGTCAGGCTCATTTGCCCCTAACTACAATTTTGGTTTCACGTTGCAATATTTGAGAAATAAAAATATGATACGAATCTATGTGATATAATTGATTTTAATATAAAATTTTAATGAATAATGGAGATATGGAGAGGAAAAGAGCGCACAAATCGGTGTAGCATATTAATTTTATAAAAAGAATAATATATTATGCTACTAAGAATAATATAACAATGAAAAAAATTCAAAAAATTACTTAAAAAGTATAGGAACGACAAAATGACTAAGAAAATAAAATAGAAGAAAGGGATTCTAAAACATCTTTTATTTCATATTTTCATTTCCCAATAATAAAAACGAAAACCGTATCATCTTTCTTGGTAGAACTCAGTTGAATGGTACGATAATGCAATGACTCGACGTTTTGTACAGGTCAACGAACAAGCTAAATTTTATTAGTATGCCTTTAACAACCTCTAGTGGTTTGATTTAACAATTTATTTTGTTATGTTATGCACGATTAAAGATTCAATGTTAGTACAAGATAAAAAAAAAAAAAAAATCTCATCTAATGACTATTAACTATTAAGATTTGTTAGAGAAGTAGTTCAAATCCACATATATTGATTTTATATTTCAATATTTAATCGAACTGAGATATAATCAGTCTTGTAAATATCCCAAATATATCTATCACGAGTTACATAGTGTGGCCAGATTCTTTCAATCAATAATAATTTCAATTAACCCACTGATTGAGATGCTGGCCAGACGTATGCTCGGTCAAAACTTCATGGGAACCCACGAATTCACACATGAAAGCTGTCATGGAAGTGCAGTGGGTTGGACTCTTTGGAATTTTCTATAAGAAATTTTGTTTGGCAAAATTCCCATTAAAGCATTCGTAATTGTTTAAAGGCATGTTTAATAGAAATTTTATCAATGAAATTATGGATTTTAGCAGATTTATAATGAAAAAGAGAGCTGGAGAAATAGATTGCAATTGGTAAATAAAGTGCAATCGGATTTGGGTGTAAGGATTATGAAGGATTTTGATAAATAGATGGGGCCGTTGATTTACTTTAATTCAAAGATCGAAATTATTTATCAATTTCTTTTGTCAAATACAATGGTAGGAAGAGAGAGAGAGAGAGAGGCATTAGGGAAAATGTCTTCAATTTTTGACCTAATGCAATTCGGTGGATCAAGGAATAATTCTACCAAATTCCTTTCTTCTTCAAATTGTGACTCTTTGGCATCTTTTTCTCCAATTCAAATAAGAACCACAAGTTAATTTTGATAATACTAATTTTAAAACATTAAAAAAATGATAGTTTTATTTTGGCCGTTATTTAGGAAATTCGTACAAAAATGTATCGATAGAAAGACAAGATTCATTATAGTAGTTAGTTAATTCTAGGATTGTATAAACGTGTTACATGAATTTAACATTTTTAAAAAGTGTTTTCAAGAGAAATAAATAATCAATTGAAAAAGGAAACAAAGTACCATAATCAAGTCGCATAAAGCAAAGTTCCAACGACATTTGATCGCCCCCCAGCACAAATCGAAACATTTAGAATGCTCAATCTACACCTTTAACTATACCAAAAACAAAAACATATAAATAGCCTATTCAACTCGTCGAAAAACGTTTGTAACTATATTAACAATTCTCGAATAAGCATTGAAAATATTAGAGGACATGGCGAATGCCTTTCTTGCAAGTCCCCGAGCACTGCCAAATTCTTGATCCAAGGGCAAATTTATGTCACCGTGAAGTTGAATTTTCTTTATTTTTTAAGTATCTTACTTGACACAGCACCATCTGCAGGAAGCAACGTGTAAACGCATCTTCTTTGGCGCTTTCATTGTGAGAAGCAACTAAGAATTCATTAAAATATTGGACAAATTCCAGATATCAACTAGGGAATTTTCCAAAAGTCATACCATTACGCGTAAACTTCTATTTCTGAAACCAGCTAATTGGCTAACTCACTAAATTATTCTGTCCAGCTCAAATACGCTGTCCGGTCTCAACACAGAAACTTCCTTCTGATCAAGATCAACCTCCATGTTACCCTACCCCACCCCACCCCACCTCACAAAATCATATATATATGGAGGCTCCATTTCAAAATTTACTCATAACAAAAACACCTTCACTCTTCCTCCCTTTCTCTCCTTCTCTCTAGCTACATTTCTTTTTCAGCTACAAAAATGGCAACATTTTCAAATTCCAAACTTCTATTGAATCTGGGAGTTGTTTTAGTTTCTATTGTCATGACTTCTTTGGTGACCCCTTCTGCTGGTAGCTTCTACAGGGATGCTGATATAAACTGGGGTGATGGTCGAGGTAAGATAATGGAGGGTGGCAGGCTTCTAACGCTCTCCTTAGACCAATATTCTGGTTCTGGATTTCAGTCCAAGAATGAGTACCTGTTTGGAAGGTTCGATATGCAACTTAAGCTTATTCCTGGAGACTCTGCTGGAACTGTAACCACATTTTTCGTAAGTGCTCAATTTTTCCTTCACTCACCACCACCCCTCTTTTTTTGATATCCATTATTGAATTGTTTGTTTATTTTGTTGTGCAGTTAGCGTCTCAAGGACCTGGTCACGATGAAATTGATTTCGAGTTTCTAGGCAATGCATCTGGACAACCATATACTGTTCATACCAATGTGTATTCTCAAGGAAAAGGGAACAAGGAACAACAATTCCATCTCTGGTTTGATCCAACATCAGCTTACCACACCTACTCCATCGTTTGGAATTCTCAACGAATCATGTAAGTCAATATACAAAGCCCTTAAGTGTCCCTTTCATTGATCTTCAAACAGTAAGAAAATTAATAATAATTCTCTTGGTTATGAATTTCAGTTTCTTGGCGGACAACATTCCTATCAGAGTATTCAACAATCACCAGGCAATTGGCATTCCATTTCCTACAAACCAGCCCATGAGAGTATACTGTAGCTTATGGAATGCAGACGATTGGGCGACACAAGGTGGAAGAATCAAGACTGACTGGACAAAAGCTCCTTTTGTTGCCTCTTACAGGAATTTCAATGTCAATGGCAATATCTGTGCATCTGGATCGAACGTTGGATCTTGTGCTTCCAAGTCTGTTGATTCCTCTAATTCTGGGACTTGGCAAACTCTAGAATTGGATGCAAAGGGAAGAAATAGACTTCGTTGGGTACAACAGAAACACATGATTTATAATTATTGTGCTGATGTTCCAAGGTTTCCTCAAGGCTTATCTGCAGAATGCAAGCGTTCAAGATTCTGACAATAGTGTGCACTGTTTCATATTTCAATTCTTCTGTCATGAAAATGTCTATAGAAATTAATTCTTTTATTCTTATATTCGTTTATTCAAATGTAATGTTGTATTGACTATTGATTTTAATAATGGGAAACAAATTTGATGTCTTTATTGAATGCTTTTCTCAGCTTATATTCTTTATTAAATGACTAGCATTTATTATTACCATTTGCTATACCATACTGGCATTTGTTATTCATTATTTAACTGTTTGATTATTATCACTCAAGCTCTTAATTTATGTATTTTAGGATTCAATTGACTCGATCATCATCGAGAAAAGAGTCACAAGTAGTGTTTGATTTGGAGAAGTCTTGGATTACTATTTACTTTGAGATTAATCATAGGATTATTTTCATGTGATATCTTTATTTCTTATTCATTGGTAGAGTTGTTTAATTTTTATCACAAGTAAAGGACAAACATATCTAACATAAAATTCGTTAGGTTATGGCAAATTTAACGAAAAAAAGAAAAAAGAAAAATAGATAGTTAGATTCAATGTCAAAATTAAGCTCTTGAAATTTTTTTCACAAATAATAGTAGGATGCAAATAACTCAAATAAGAAATAACTTAACAAACAACTATAAATAGATCATAGAAAAAAAAAAAAAAAAAAAAACTCATGGAGTCATGTTTCTATCAACGTTTATGATACGTGAAGATGGGAATTATTGATAGTAAGTGATGACATCTGTTAGTAGAAAGAGGTCCAACCAGAGAAGGTGATGTAGATTTTCTACGTTTTCTACTTCTTACTACACGAGGAATCTTTCAAATGAAGAGAAAACATGATACAGAGAAATGGTAGTTGATATATTTAAAAGATATGAACAAAATATGTTGTTTTTATTGCAAACTGTTTAGTACAAAAAAATAGTTCGAACTAATTTGGTGATCAACGAACTAAAGATCAGAAAAACCTTGGTATTAAGAAGAAAGGTCGTTAACAAGTAATTATAATATAATTAAGATAAATGCTTTGGTTGATTTAGAATTCATATTGAGAAAGAAAAGAACAATGGATAGAGATGCAAGAAATTAAAGGAGTTAATAAAGAGAAGAACATGGCAACAATGTTTCATAAAGAATTATTATCCTGGTATATAATTCATTTAGTATTTCATGGAAACAATGACAAGATTTGTTGAGTATCATGAATGAAATGATAAGAGTGTTATGCCTATAAATTGCATGGCATACGCGTGATGCAATGTCCTTCATTGGCCAACGTGACATTGACTATTTAATTGATTGGACTTCTTTA